TTTGTCTTCTTAATGAGGTGTCACCGCTAATCTCGGGCCCATTTTTTAAAACCGGGTTGTTTGTTTTCTCATTATGAAGTGTCTGCACTTTTTTCTGTACGTTTATGGTTCGTTTTTCCCTTTTTTGGGGAGTGCTTTATGCCTCCTGGGTCAGGCCTCGATGAAATATTGGCTTGGCCGAGATTTTCTTCCACCCGGTGTCTTACATCTCGTTTTCTTTGACAGCGTCTTTGAGGGAGCAAACGATAAACATTCTGGATGTATTTCAATGCCCCCGTGTGCTTTCTCAGGGGTCGTGCATCCGGTACTGTGTGCAGGAAACCTTGGCCTCGTCCACGGTCACCGAGGTTTCTCCCGTGGGCCCGTAGCTCTAGTTTCCTACGCAGGCCTGTGGCCTGTTTTGAGTTAAGTTTTGGCTACAGTGTGAGGCTCGACTCCACGCTGTCGTTACCGGTTACCGCACGTGGGTATCCCAGCGTCCCAGTGGGCTTTCTGCAGACCTGTGGGTTCGTTTTCTGGGTCCTTTACTTTCTACCTTCGATCCATCTGAGCAGCTTTACCCCAGTACCAGCCTGTTTTGGTGACTCTAATGCTACACCAATTCTTAGAATGTTAGCTCAACTTCTTTCCGTTTTCAGGGTGGTTTTGACGGCTCTGAGTCCCCTGCATTTCCACCGGAGCTGTGGAGCTAGGCGTGGAAACCTGCCGGGATTTTGACCGGGATCGCATCGCATCTACAGACTAAGGCGAGGGAGAATCGATGTCCTCACGGTCTTGGTCGAATCTCCCAACCCATGAATACCGTATGTCCCTTCCTCTGTTTCTCTCACCAACTTTTTATAGTTTTCGAAGTGTAGCTCTTTTACACTCTTTGTCAGATTGATTCCTGTTTTGGGGATGCTATTAGGAAGCGGTGTGTTTTTTTTAAAGGTCACCATCTGATTGTACATGATTATCTTATACAAATACGGTGACTTTGTATAGCAATGTGTGTCCTGAAACCTCTCTCAAATCACTTTCTAGCCCCTGTAGCTTTTCTTGGGGGTCCCACTGGGTTAGCTGTTTGGGTTGTCAGTGACTAAAGCTGTTTCCTCTCTGATCTGTATGATTTTGTTTTTTCTTGCCTAATTGCATTAGCAAGCACCTCTAGTACGAGGCCCGGCGGAGGTGCCAAGAGCAGATTTCCTTGGTCTGGTCCTGTTCTTGATGATACACTTTCAGTCTTTCCCCAGGCGGTGCCGTGTGTTAAAACAAGGACACTCCCCTCTGTTCCTTGTTTGCTGAGAGCTTTTCTCTGGGGGAAAAAAAAATTAGGAACGTGCGTTGGATTTTGTCAGATGCTTTTTCTGTACCTATTGAGCTGGTCATATGGCTTTTCCCTTTTTCAGTTTGTTAACATGGTGAATTACCAGCCCTGCATCCCTGGGGTGGGCCACGCTTGGTTGTGACCTGGTGTCCACTTTATACGTGGCCAAATTCTGTTTGCTAACATTTTATTTAGAACACTCATGCCTCGGTTTTTGAGGGATACTGGTCTGGTAGCTTCTCTTTCTTTCACTGTCTTTGGTGTTGGCATTAGGATGGTGCTGGCCTCCTAGAATGAGTTGTAAAGTCATGTCTCCGCCTTCTGTTTCTTCACAGAGCTTGCCTATCGTTGCTGCTACTTCTTAATTTAAAAAAATATATGTTTATAGGTTTCAGGGGAAGGGAGAGGGAAAAGGGGGGAAGAGAGAGAGAGAAACACCCATGATGAGAGAGTCACTGATGGGCTGCGCCCTGCACGCCCCCCGCTGGGGATCGAGCCCACAACCCGGGCCTGTGCCCTGACTGGGAATCGAACCGCGATCTCCTGGATCCTACGTCGATGCTCAACCGCTGAGCCACACCGGCCGGGCTCCTATTTCTTCCTTACACATTTGATAGAATCCACCCGTGAAGCCATCTGGGCTGGAATTTTCTTTGTGGAGAAGTTTCTTCTGTTTTGTGTGTGTGTGTGTGAAGTTCTTAACGACACTTCCAGTCCTTCGGTAGCTGTAGGTTTACTCAGGCTCTCTTTCTGTTTCTGAGTGAGCTTTCTTAGGTTCCGGTTTTCAAGAAATGTGGCCGTTCCATCTGACTGGTCCAATTTACTGGCCTAAAGTTGTCCATAATTCCCCTCATGGTCCCTAACTACCTGTGCCATCTGTGGTGAGGTCCCTCCCTCGTCGCTGCTGTTGGAACCTCATTTGTTCTCTCTCTCTCTCTCTTTCTCTCTCTGTCTCTCTGTCTCTCTGTCTCTGTCTCTCTCTCTGTCTCTTTCTGTTTCTCTCTGTCTCTCTCTGTCTCTGTCTGTCTCTGTCTCTCTCTGTCTCTGTCTCTCTCTCTGTCTCTCTCTGTCTCTCTGTCTCTCTCTCTGTCTCTCTCTCTCTGTCTCTGTCTCTCTCTGTCTCTCTGTCTCTCTGTCTGTCTCTGTCTCTCCCTCTGTCTCTCTCTCTCTTTTCCTGATCGGATGGATTCCCGGTTCGTCAGTTCTTGTTGACCTTTTCAAAGAACCAAGCTTTGGGTTTATGTTTTTTGATTTTCCTATTGTCTTTATGTTTTTCCACCTCATCGACTTCCAGTTCATCTGCTTCGTGTCCTTTCGTGGGATTTAATTGCATTTTTCCGTGTTCCTTAAGATGGAGGCTGAGGTCAGGGATCGAGCCCCCTCGGCCTCCCGGCAGGCCCTCGGCGGTGTGGATCTGGCCCCGCTTACTGCCTTCGTGGCGCCCCGTGCGCCCCCGTGTTCGTCCCTGGGCCCCTTTCTCTTGGCTTTTCCTTTCCCCTCATGGATCATTTAGAAGTGTGTTATTTCGATTCCAAATACTTGAGAATTTTCCAAGGATCTTTCTGTTATTGATTTATAATTTAATTCCTTATGGTCCAAGAACATAATCCGTGTGACTTGAACCCCTCTCAACTTATTAAGTCTTGTTTTATGGCCCAGAACGTGGTCTATATTGGTGAGCGTTCCGTGCGCGCTGGGAAAGAATGTGTTTAAGCCGAGTGTTCCATAAATGTCAGGCGAGTCCCGCTGGCTGGCAGCGCCGTCCAAGTCTCCCGTGTCCTTGCCGAGTCTCTGCCCGCCTGTCCGATTAACCATTGAGAGGGGTCCTGCGGCCTGACTGTAATGCGGACCTGTCTCTCTCTCCTTTCAGGACTGTCATTTTGGGCTTCGTGTGTGTTTCAAAGCTCTGTGGCCCCGTTTACGGTATTTGTGTCTTTATGTTTAAAATGTGTGCCTAGCCCTGGCCGGCTTGGCTCAGCCGTTCGAGCACCAGCCCACGGACCGAAGGGTCTCAGGTTCATCCTGGTCAAGGGCACGTACCTGGGTTGCAGGCTCCATCCCTGGTCCTGGTCAGGGGCACGTGCAGGAAGGAGGCAACCCATCGACGTGTATCTCTCACATCCATGTTTCTCTCTCCCTTCCACGTGCCTCCCTCTGAAAAGCAATGGAAAAAATATCCTCAGTGAGGATTAAAAATAATAAATGTGTGCCCAGGCAACGGCGAGACCGCTTTTCAGGCCTGACAGCTTCCTCCCAGGCACATGCTGACCGGGCCCTGCTGTCCTGGAGGGGCCCCTCTGCGGGTCCCCAGGGCCCTCTCCTCTCACCCTCGGGCCTAGGAGCTTTCCTCACCTGGGTCTCCCTACACCCTCAGCTCTCTCTCGTCAACTCGGGGACCCCGTGGGGCTCCCCCTCAGTCCGCCTTCCTGCACCGAGGCCTGACCGCTCTCTCAAGGAAGGGAGCGGGGCAGTTGTGGGACTCACCGGGGCCCTTTCCCACCTCCCAGGGACCTCGTCCACCGCCGGGTATTCTGTGTACTTTTATCTGTTTCTCTCGTTTTGTTTTGTGGGGCGTTTCCAGCAGGAGGGTGAAGGGTGGCCCCCGTGACCCCACCCTGGCTGGAAGCGAGGACCACTTTTCCATGTGCAGAAACGTCACAGTGTTAAGCAGTGAAATGTACCGAGCTGGGCCTTGCCTTCCACGTGCTCCCGTGGCTGGTGAGCTTAGCAAGCAGAGAACCATGCACCAACTCTTTCCTCTGGTCTTATTTTCGACAACTTTCTCCCACATCTCATCCCCTGCCCCTCCTGGCACGAGCTCCTGTGTGCTCCGGGGGCGACAGGCTCCTTCCCTTTGTTCTTCACACACATCTCACTCTCCCAACCTTCTTTGTCAATGTGTCACCCCCCACCCCCATCCTTGGTGGGGACGCCCCGGGTTCTTGTGTCCCCAGGCCACCACGCTGATGAATACCGTAGGACTGGGAGAAATTTTACAGCCTCCAAAAGCAGAGGCACTGGGGTTGCCAGTCACGGCCCATAGCCACGTGGGCCACGTCCACAGGGTAGTGCCCGTGGGACCTCATGCCTCTGCCTAACCCGCTCCAAGCTCCAGTTTGCTCTCCGGGAAAATGCAAATGGTGAGGGCGTTTGGCCCCTTGGACAGAGGCAGCAGAAGCTGGGCCTGACTGCTGACCGTTGGTGCCGGGCCCCCAGCACCCACGGCTCCGTTCCCTTCACATTTGAAATCCACTCTTAACTTTCAAGATCCCCTTGGCTTTTCCTTCCAGAAGAATTCGACAATTCATCTTGTCAACTCCCTCCCCGCCCCCGCACACCCCTGGCCCCCAGATAAATCCCATT